AGCAGGAAAACAGGAGAGCAAGCTAGGAGGAGGAAGAGGAGAGTAAAAGAGAGAAGTGAAACCGCCATTCTTTTGGGCTCACAAACAAAAGAAACCCAACCAACCAACCAACCAACCTGCAAAGCCGCAGTGGGAAAGCAGAGGCCTCTCCTCTGCTATTTATGAAGGAAAAAGCTGTCCTTGTGTTATTAACCTCTCTGCTTTGCTACAACAATTATTAAGACCACATTCTGTAGTGTAGCAGAATGCCTGTTTGGCGTTAATTAACAAATTTTTTTTTGCTTATGTGCAGTACTTTATGTAGGGCAGATGCCATTTCTGTAGATGAAACTGCCAAAAATGAGGGCACATGGGCTCTCTTGGTTACATTAATGACATTGAATTCTGCATTTAACTGCAAAGAATGTCGTAAGAGAAAGATTAAGAAATAATGTCAGAGCATTTTGGTCTAAATCTGCTTAATAGGGATCTGATCTTAACATATGTTGAACAAAATACTGAATTTTATTTTTAAGGAATAAAAATTCATGAAGAGGAGTATAAATTCCATATTTCTAAGAAATCTGAACAGAACAATTGCAAGGATGCAACTAAAATTTTATAGAAAAATCTCTTAGGGATTAGTAATGGTTTGAGATAGGATTTTTAGGTTGAAGATATCATGGTGAAACTTTTTTATAATTAGCAAATGATTTATGAAAAGACACCTATTCCATAGGGTGAACGTATAAACCTCTTCCCATATTTGATTTGGCATGATTCACGCTAAGTACCTCTAGCACTTGCTGATTTATTTCGACAACTTAGGTGGGTCTCATAGCAACTTTTGCATGAAATAGCCAAAAATGGCTAATATAATAGCATAATCTTATCCCCTGTTTTAAATATTAGAAGATCCTCTTATGATTGCGATAAGACTTAAGGATAAAACTTATTTAATGGAAATATCTCACATTAAAAAAAATAACAAAGAAATATTTGAGTTAACATAAAAAAACTACTCCATTTCTT